TGTGGGGGGGTTCAGCAGCACGGTGCTCGGCGGGGGGCGGGGGCTGTTCAGCGGCGCGGTGCTCGGTGGGGGGTTTCGGCGGCGCGGCGCTGGGTGGAGGGGTTTCGGCAGCGCGCCAATTGGTGGGGGGTGTTTCGGCGGGGCGGGGCGGCGCTTGGGAGGGGGTGTTACGGCAGGGCGGTGCTTTTTTTTGCTGCTTGGGGTGGCAAAAAAAGTTAGAGCCGGCCCTGTCTCCAGGGGAGGCTCTGCAGCATCTTTCACTAGCCCTCAATTCATTTTCAGATGAAAGAGGAAAAATCGAAGAGAACTCCAGAGCAACAGCCAAAGGCTCAGGGTGTCGGGCCTCAGTCCAGTCGGTTACAGAGGTCTCAGAATAGGTGTGGGCTTAAGCTACCGTCAGCCTAGCTCTAGCTCTGGGATCTTCCTGGACAGTACAGTACACCTTGTCACGTGCCGTTCTGGGCTCAGTGCCGTGGCACATATAGGTTGGGGCATCACTCTGACTGGGCTTCATTTGCTAACGAGATTACCTCTCTGGACCATGTTCATTCATGCCGTGGGGAAAGTTCCGTTTACAAGGATAAAAGCCTCGTCTGCAGGCAAGATGGTTTGCGTTACAGATGCACAATGCAATGGGATCCTGTGGTGCCTCCGGCTGGGCCTGAAATTGTACACACCCCACATCTATTTAGAGAAACCTCAGTGCGTATCATCTTCCACATAGCCAATGAGCTACCCTGAAGTACCACACCCTCCCCAAACATCCCAATTCTATAACCAATCAGGGGATGCAACTCAGCACTCAGGAGCAACCCTACAATAACAAACTAGTGGCTGTGTGCAGCCCAGCACACACACAAGCAACCCTCCAGTGATGAACCCGGGACAGTGCTTTGTTATAGCTTTGAAGGAACAGGTGATTTGGGTTAATAATATACTCAGGAGGTCTGTCCAGCTGCCAGTGGGGCACTGCTCTTAAAGTGTAGATTTCTCTTCACTCTTAACTTATCCTCTGCTGATAAAAAGCACTTAGAATATGTTTTGGTCAGATAAATGTCATTGCGTTCTGGGAAACGCTGCCACTTCCCCCATCTTCTTCTTTTGTTTTTACCCTAAGTTCATGGAATTGGCCACTTCCCTTTCTTGGCTGAACAATAAAAGAATGAACTCTCTGTTACATGCAGCACCTGTACACCCAGCACCTGTGGAAAGGACGGATGGTCCAGTGGCAAGGGCCCTAGGATCTGGGAGAGGTGGAGTCAATTCCCTGAAGAGTTCTGGTGTGACTTTGGAAAAGTCAGGAAGGCCAGATTTGCAAAGGTTTCCGGGTGTCTAACTTACACTGATTGCAATGGGAGTTAGGGCCCTAAATACCTTTGGAAATCTGGCCCTTAGTCTCTCCTGGCCTCAGTTCCCCCTCTGTACAATGGGGACAATAGCGTGTCCTTACATCTTTGGGGGGTGCTGAGGATAAAAACATTCAAGATGGTGAGGCGTTCTGATACCACAGCAATGCGGGCCAGATACGTATGTTATGTGGGATGGGCAAGTCACTCTCTTAGGGTACTATTGTTATTTGTATTTGTAGCATCTAGAGACTGCAGTTGAGCTCAGATCCCCGTCGTGCAAAACGCTGTTCAAACACACAGAGCGAGACTGCCCCTGCCCCCAAAGACCTTACAATCTAAATACCCAGGATAGGCAAAGGGTGGGAGGGGAAACAGAGGCACAGAAAAGGGAAATTCCTCGCCCCAGGTCTCACATCGGGTTCCTGGCAGAGCCAAGAATAGAACCCTGTCTCCTGATTCCCAGTCCAGTGCTCTTGGGGTATGTCTCTACAGCTGTCAGATGTGAACTTGTGCTAGTGCTCTGAAACTAGCTGCATAGATGGGGCTTTGAAGTGGCGGCTTGGGCTGGGGCTCAAGATCTGAAGCCCATGGATGGGGGTGGGCTTTAGAGTCCGAGCAGTGGGCTGACAGCTTTTTAAACAGTGCAAACAATGTAAAATGCAGGGCTGGTGAAATGCGTAGGGTTGACAGCCCTGCTTGGTTCATGTGCTGCCCAACCGTGTCCCGAGGCTGTTGTGGGGAGTTGACGGGGATCCGATCCTCCTTCCCGCAAAGCTGCTTTCGAGCTCTAACTTAAAGGCTGCTCTTGGCACTACTGAAATT